TCACTAAAGTATAATATAGCATTGGAAAATTTTATTGTTGATACATGTATTTGTTAATAACAAATTATTAATTAAATAAATTGGTACTTTTTAATTCGCGTATTGATATTATTATGTTCTCTTTGTTTAAAAGGTTTTGAATTTCTAATATGATCTTGTTTATGAACATTCGTTATTTTATTGTTATAAATATTTAGTAAATAAACAATCGCAGAAATAAAAGTTATAATCATTTTTTGTAGGTGTATTGATATAAAGTTTATGTATACCGATGAAATTCGAATGTATACTACTTTTATTTTTTATTGCAGATTTCACTATAAACGGGAGCAGGGGTTTCTTTAATTAATTAGGTGTAAGGGTTTAATAAAATTTATGTTTTGTATCTGGTTTTCAAGAGGAAAGATCAAGCTAATCATGTGTATGAGAAAGGTAATTTTTTTAGTTATTATTATTTTGGAATATGTTAAAGTTTAGTCGCGCGGTGCTGAACTATACGATTTACATACATTAACATATATGTTAATCGCATAATTCAGCGACATTTCCCTTTATAACGGGTGTCTTTTCACTTGGAATTTTATAGCGCTTTTATTAGAAAAGTGACAAGGTTTTGACTTATATAAAAATTGTTATACGTGAACCGAGGTATAAGTTAAAAATATTTATCGACATGGTCAATAATTTGTTTATGATTGTTTATAAAAGTAAGTTGCAAAAATAGATGATTATATAGTAAATGTTTTTCTATCAAACGATTCTAACGATTATTCCGTATACACTTATATTTGTTCTTATTTCAAACTATTCATTTTCTATTTTATTTTAATTTATTAAGAATTTATTATGGCTATCCTTGTCTTACACCTTGTGAACTGGTATTAAACTATCCTCGTCTTTCATGGAGTGAATGTTCAATTTAAATCTCATTTAATAGTTTAATTAATTTAGATAAAAAAATCGGCGTTAACGTTACTGATGTTTAGGAGTATGAGAGATTCTATTTTTATTATAATAATTAAGTGTCAAAATTTTCGTTCAGAAATGTAATTTTTCAGCTTCAGAATGTACAAAAGACTAAAATATTAATGTAAAAATAATTTGGTCTTTGTAAGTCTAAAGGGTAGAAAATTCAAGATGGCGGATGTGAAACTTTAATAATTTATAACTCGAGAACGGTAAGAGATAAAAAGATGGGGTTTCTTTTGTTGTGTTCAGATAATTAAGGGCATTATTTTAGGTTGTTTAAAATTTTTGTGTTTTATGGATTTCTATAATTTTTAATTATATCTCGAAATTAAGAAGAGATATGATGTGGGTTTTTTATGAGGTTATTTGACATGCTCTGCTGAGTGTCTGCAGTGATTTTATTTATCATCTTTAATAATATTTTTATGATAAATTTTATTGTTGATTAGTTTATTTCGAGAGATACAATAATGGTTTATAATCAAAAGTTATTTGACTTTTTGTGATAGTTTTAGTAATCACATTAACTAGGTCTGTTAATAATATAATTTAATTGTTTATAACAATCATGTTTTGAAAAAATGCTAATGAAATAATTACTATTTTAGCATGATAATGTTTCTCAGGCATAAAAGGTTATGTTCCTATGAATAATCTACTTTTAATTAATTTATTTATATTTTATTTTAATTTCCTGAATTTATTCTTATGGATTATGCGTTTATTCATGTGTTAAATTGAATTTGCATTGCATAAAAGATCTCATAAGGTTTGTAATATCCATTTACGATCAGTTTTAGTGACTCTGGGGAATTTTAACAAGCAATTGTCCAAAAGTTTATAGTGTGATTCATGCAAATGGGGCTTAAGCTTGAAAGGGTGCCTTAAGGCAGCCATGTTCTCTAGGCTTATGTCTACTACTTTAAGAACGCGTGTTCGGATCAGCTGAGTGTTTGTTGTGACAGTTAATTTAAAGAATGATTGTTATATTATAATGTTGTTTTCAGATGCTGTGGACTTTTAGCAATGAAGGTAGAAAATCGAAAAATTTATGCGGGTGGAATTTAGCGGTGATTATACCGTCAGACGTGACATTGGTTACGCGATACACGTTACGCGGAAAATATCAGCCCATGTAACCGCACCCTAAGGCTGCCTTCACATGCGGCGTAAAATTCGTACGCCAGCGTACGCGTAACCTGCGTATTCTAGTAATATGCCAAAACTTACGCTATTTAAAAAGTACCCAATTCACATGGAGCGTATTGCGTTAAATTTCGCGTAAAACGCAACAATCCTGACCAATGATAGATCAGGCCTTCTGTTGTACAACAGAGCAGAAATACTAAAGTGATTTTCGATTGGTTGTTAATATTTACGCGTATTGCTAAATACGCGCCATGTGATTGAGGTACTTTTCATGTACGAATGTGTGAAAGCGCAATATATGTAACGGTATGCACGGTGGGGTTAGGATTGCAATGAAGAATAGCATTCATAACCTATTGTCACTGGCAACGATTGCATTACTTGCAATCATTTGAGATCACTTGAGATCATTTGCGGATTTAAATTTTTTGTTGCCTACTGGAAATCCTGAAGGTAGGAAAGATTATTTTTTCTATTACTTTTGTCACATATACTTAGTCCCTCTGCTCTAAAAAAAACTAAATTTTTTATTTCTTAATCTTTATTAGGCTATAAGTATATTGGACGAACTCGTTTTTTGGAAGTTCATGGAATCCCTTGAATATGGATTCCAACATCCTATTAGCGATTATTGGCATACGATTGAAGAAGTGGAGAAAGGCGAAGCAAACACTTCAACACCGGAAAATTAGAAAACCGAATATACTGAAACTCATTGCATTATGGAGACTTCTAGTAGAGCGTGAAGAAAAAGAAAGCCGAAGAATATGGGTTCGCCCAATATTCACACAATCTCGAAGATATTTGCAAGGAGCAAGTGACAATCTGGTCAAAGAAATGGAGCTACAAGACCAGGAAATGTTCTACAATTACTGTAGAATGTCTACAGAAATGTTTTATCAGTTGCTGAGTATAGTTGGACCTTTCCTTGAAAAACAGATTGTTGTTCGAGACCCAATACCGGCTCGCACACGGCTTCTGGTGTGTTTGCGTTACTTAGCCTCCGGTGACAGTATGGCCTCAATATCCTATGCATTTAGAATTGGAGTAAACACTGTTTCAAAAATTGTTTCTGAAACGTGCGAGGTATTGTGGAATTGTCTCCACGAATCTGTAATGCCACCAATGAACAAAGAGGATTGGTTGAAAATCGCGGAAGAATTTGAGAGAAAATGGAACTTCCCACATTGTATAGGTGCAATAGATGGCAAACACGTTGTGATTCAGGTGAGTTCTTTTTTTCAGAATTTATTTGTTATTTGTTTATACTGAGAAGTGCTAGAAGATTAATCTGTGATAAACATTTCTGTTTGCTTTTCAGGCACCACCGCATAGCGGGTCGGTATATTATAACTACAAAGGAGCTCATAGTATTAGTTTGTTAGCAGTTTCGGATGCCAATTACTGCTTCACACTAGTCGACATTGGAGCCGAAGGTAGACAGAGTGATGGAGGTATCTTTGCGAACTCAAAGTTTGGTCAACGTTTTGAAAGAAATGAAATAAATTTGCCACAACCGAGTGAAATAGAACCTAGCGGACCCCTTTTACCATATGTATTAGTGGCAGATGAGGCATTCGCACTGAAGCAGTATATGATGCGACCGTACCCTCGAAGTTACCGATTAACTCGTCAGAAAAAAATACTTAATTATCGTCTGAGTCGAGCGAGAAGAGTGATCGAAAGTGCATTTGGAATTCTGGCGGCACGATGGCGAATCTATCGGCGGCCAATAATCTCGTCCATTTCCACTGCAGTGAAAATTGTTCAAGCGACTACATGCTTACACAATTTTATAATCAAGAATGAAAACAAGTTGCAGAACTTCCAAAGGCGGTACACTCGAACTGGCACAGATGACGAAACCTCGATTGGCGGTGCATTGCAAGAAATTAACAATGCTGGCCAAGCTAACGCCCACACTCGACTTGCCTCCAGAATCCGGGACGATTTTGCGTCATACTTTGAACACGGCGGAGCAGTACCTTGGCAGTGGCAAAAAGTTCTTAACAATGATTTTTAATAATACACTTTGAATCTTTCTACATGAAAATGATAAGACTAAAACGTTAGCAAGTCCTAAGATAATTGTTACAAGCAATATCTTGTATGTATAAATTTATTAATAAAAGAAGTTCAGTTCAATGCATATTTATTCAACGATTAACATTTTAAAATATACATTACATATTATTATACTTTATGCTTATACACTTATTATAATATACTGTATATATTCCCTTAACTAATATCACACGTTTGTACTTTTACTTACAGTAATGTGACTACAAGCGAATATCAAATTTTAAGTTAGGTGACGTACAATCACAATCTTTGGTTTACTTTAAGGAAAAACAATTTGTTTACAGATTAAATCACTAAAGCTTTACCATGCTATGTATTTATAACACCCCGCAAAGATGTTTTCTCTAGAATAAAAAACTAAACATTACGCCAAAATATATGAAACTAAAAACATAACTAAAGTTTTGCACGATTACGTAATACTAAAATCTTATCGTATTGAATGTTTTATCAGTTTTTCACTCTCTTTGACGATAAAATTAAATTTCATGAGTATATTAACAAAAAAAATTGTTTTAATCAACGTACGCGTAGGTACAAAAAAAATTATACGACTAAGGGCTATCTTACGGTTATACATTGCACGGATTTTTTGGCACAAAATCTTTGTTTAAAAAAAAAACACATTTAAAGGTGTTGGTTCGATGATGATATGGAATAAGCGACCTATCGAACATTTTCAAACATGCCTTTTGAACAGTTACGTTGATCTCGATCGTCGGAATCTTGATTAAAGCAACGATCTTCCATTTCACCTAGCAATGTCAAAAACTGTATTTCTAGTTTGGCTCTGTTTCGATATGGCAGTTTTCGCATCCCTTCTCCCAAGCGGATAAGAAATCCGTCCAGCGGATCAATCGGTTGTGTTGCTGGCTCATTTCCGCTTCTTATGGCTTCTATCAAAGCTTCTTGCAAGGCAGCATCATTTTTTTTTTCTAAAACACGAACGCAAATACGTCAACGTACATTTTGACACTAAAACGTTTCTTTGGCTATGGTCAACGTGACGCTACAAATGCTTTGGAGCGTTCTTCTTCTTCTTCTTTCTTCATTGAAAGAAAAGAGAAGAGGAATGCTTCGAAGCATTTGTAGCGTCACGTTGAGCGTAGCCTTTATGACACACATTAAGTATATGTAAGGAACTTAGGTAAAAAAAACTCATACTTTTTGCAACAGGCGGCTCATAAACATCGATGGAGTCGACGATTTGTACTGATTCTACAAAGATATTAAAATGTTATTCGCACGGTAATTAAAAAAACTGAGAGATGATAATATAAATGAACAAACGTTTCGATCTTGTGGTTCGTGGTCGTGTAGGCACTCTGTTTGTAGTTGATGTCAATGGAAAGTCTTTCGTTGGTGTCGGGGTTTGTGAAAGGACGTCGATGGAATCGAGCGAACGTGGAGAAGTATTTGTAGAAGTCGGCGTTCGTGAAGGAACATAGGGGGATGCATGAGTTTGTGGAGACTTGTTGATAGCTGAAGTTGAAATTTTGAAGTGTCGAAGTTGAAATTTTGAAGTTTCTTGAAGTGTCGAAGACCCAGCTATGGCATCACTCTCGTGTTGCTCGTTTTGTGTGTCAAGTGAAGTTACTACTTCACTTTCATTGGCATCTGTCAAAGAACTCACTGTCCTGAAATACATATATTAATAAATGGGTTACACTTGTGACAAACTTTCTTTTATTTCTGACTAAATAAGAATGATAGTTATGTAAATACTAAAAAGTAAGAACTTACGGCCGTGTCTGCAATGAATCGTCAAGGAATCTCATAAGCTCGTAATATTGAAACCTTGACTTAAAATTGGTATTAGCAACAGTAGCTGCCGATCCGCTGGGTATGTACGCTCGAACCTTCTTGCGGGCTTTTATGTAATTATCTCGTAAATATTTCCATCGAGCCTTAGCTTCTTCTGGACTGAGGGATCCTTTATAAATAATTTGATTTTAAAGCTCATTCTACTCATTTACATTTTAAAGCATTATATGCAATAAAATAAAAGAAAAGGGTTTCTACATGTGTAAAATATATACCTCGTAGTATATTTGAAACTTCCATCCATAATGCATTTTTACGCAATGTAGTTCTCTCTGAAGCAGGTACATGACGGAAGTCGTAAAGCCCACGCTTGCTTCTAACTGCTTCGATCAACAGCTCGTTTAAATTTTCTTTGCCAACAACCGTTGGATTGTTTTCGACTGTTAAATAATTATACTAATTAATTTATTTAATAGAGCAAAATATACATAAAGAGTTATATACAGCAATCATACCTATTGTTACGACATAGTTTTCGTCAATGTTGATGCGGTCTACATCTTCGATGTAATTTTTGAAGCATTCGTGATCGGTGAAGTTTGTGGTAAACCTAAACAACCACCCACAGTATCCACATTTGTGCTACATTTAAAAAAAGAAAATATATAAGTCAAGATGTATATGCCGCAGCAGATTGCTAAAACTAGCCCAAACATGCAAATGACAGGATAATACTATAATTATCAAGCATAACCTTGAAATTATTTTGTCATATTGGCAAGCGATTACCGAATACTTCTAAGCATTGAATGGATTATTTTTAGAAACTTTATATAGAATTTGTTGACTTACCCGAATTTCATCCATTTCTTTATATTCGTCCAATCCGTCTGGTCACAAATGTTACTCTCGGCGATTGTCCACAAACACACACACACGTCACTTCATCAGTTACGCGAGAAATTGAATTTGGCATATCGGCAATAGCGTAAAACGCGTAAAATAACTAGGCAGATTTGCGTATGATAGCTGAGATGATTTGATTGGCTGACGTGGTTTGGCGTAAGTTACGCGTACGCTGGCGTACGCATCTTACGCCGCATGGGAAGGCAGCCTAAGATTGAATTGCGTGTCGTGTAACGCAAGATTCTCACGTAAAG